AACCGTTGTTCTAACACGAATGCGATATTTTTATTAGACCAATTTTGAGACGGCGCAGAACGCAGCTGGGCCATGTCGCCTGTTTATTTAAGCCTCTCAACTGGTTTAGAGACCAAAAATAAGTTAGTCACAAAATTCATTTAAGATGCGTAGACAGAGAGCAGAAGCATAAAAGTCAAGGGAGAACGGAAAAAATGAACGGTCAAGAGTATGACCAATATGAAGTTCACGTATTGTCTTCAAAGAGATGAGTTCCCTATGCGCATTACTTTGTTTTATGTCACCCTATTGCTATTCTATCGTTACTGGAGTCTTGCATATGATCTCCAACACCATCTCGAGCATCGCTTTTTTTTCACTAAAAGTATATAGCGGAATTTTCCCACCCACTTTATCCGTCTATTTCTGTTCTCTGACCGTGAAGCTTTCATGCAATTCCTGCATTAGGTTTGAGTTGTAAAAGTAGAATTGTTGACGAGCAAATTATTGTTTACCCATTACATTTTTGGCAATAGGAGCAATCTGAAATTTATTAAATTGGACCAATAACGAAAAATTTATTTTTGTCTAAATTTACAGTCTATTTGAGCAATGGTTACATTTTGATTATCAATTCTTAGTTCACGGGTAGGGGAGTTCGACATTTGCTTCCTATTTTTTGAAATTTTTATCCCAACATCAGCTAAATAAATAGGCATCATTGTACGGTCCTTTAGTTACAGCTCGTCCATAAACTTAATTTGTGTAAAGACGTATAAAATTGTGGCGCATCAAGAAGACTAGTATTTTGCTTCGAATATTTGGATGCACTAGTTAATCAGTGCATTCTGAGAACATAAATAATTTCCGACGATGCTGATGATGCAGAGTACAGAGGAAGCGAGAGGACATAGGACAAGATACATTTCGCAAGGGCTCATGTTGCTTCAACACAATTGTCTGAACAAAGTCAAACCTACACTTTATAGCAAAAGAGGATTGCTACACCTTCTCGGTCTACTTGCGCTTTCATTTTTTGAAATTGGTAGCATATGAACTGTAGTTAATGCATATTTAAACATCGCTTCGAAAAAAATTCCATGTTTATTCAAGGTTTATTATAAAGATAAATGATTCAATAATTATCGAGCTATGTTGGCCTAAAAGAATTGTTAAAATATAAATATAAATATGAGCGACAGTGATCTTAATATTGTCATTGGTGGAATTTGCAAAAGTCGGTATTTCAAGAATTCTAGTCATTAAAATGTGAAATCTCGCCCATAAGGTTAGGCCGACAGTTACATTGAACAGGGATCTTGTCAGATTGGGAACTAAAGCCAGAATATTTGCTCATTGGGATCCATCTAAAGATAAGATTCAGAATACTCAATTAAGGTTCTTTCTTTGAGAAATAAGCTTCCGTCTTGCGGAATGTTTAGAAAAAACTTCAGTGAGGTATCTCAAGAAAATTATGTGCAAGCGTTACTTCGGTCAACGAAATTAACCCTTCAAGCATTTATTGGCAATAGTTTTTTGGTATGTGAGTTAATCAGTAATATGAGATGTATTCACCCTATCTTGTTTAAGGGGATTAAGGACTGGTCGTACGAGTAGAGCTGACGTTTCCATTCGATTTCACATAGCCTTGCTTTCCCAAAAGTTGTTCTCATCCAGAGTGGACTGAGCTGGTCCTCAAATAAAAGAAGAGAAGTCCCTTCCAAGGAATGAATAGCATAAGCTTAAGCATTTGAATGGGCTTCTAGTTGCTAACCCTAACATATCAACGAATTCTTTCTCGCCATTACTAAAGCTGTCCACATGCAAGGTTTGCAAATTGCTCTGCCATCTTTTTTAAAGTGCCTATTCGTTGTCGACTTCCTCATCAACTTTAAAATAGCGCTGGTTTAATACATAAAGGACTTCTAACAGGTTTATTGCTTTGAAAAGCAAATTTGTGGTACCTGCAATATTTAAATGATTAAACTGACGAAGTCAGATTGAGCTAGAATAAATCATGGTTGGAGTGAATCGAGGTTGCTCTTTTTATATCGAGATCTCTGATATATATATATATATATATATATATATATA